TAAAAAACCGCATCAAAATCCGTTGCATAGTTTTAAAGATTTAAGCATACATAGGGACAGACAGCGACAGCGACTTTGTTTTATACTATGTAATGATAATCATGATAACATTTTTTTATTCAAAAGTGTCATTTTGTTGTTATTTTAAAGTGACATTCATTAAAGAAATGAAAACACAAGTTTCTTTCATTTTTCTTGTGATGACGCGTTCCGAATGAGTGATAGAGTAAAAAATATTACTATTCAAAAATGCCTATATTGATTAGTTCATTTGACTAAAGATTATTTCTATTAGGCGCTTATCTCTAATTACTAGATAACCTTTGTATGCAACAGATATTGTATAGCTACGATGTAGTTGTTATTGTACCTTGACTGATATGAAAGCCAGGCCTATCTCGTGGTAACAGTCTATTGACATGAACAATGGAGGCCTATAAATTAACAGATTGTCAGTATGATGCCATACTCGTGTGTCCCGCTATATATTCTGTGTTAACACTACACACATGAATGGATTGTATTAGTTACTCTAAAGGCTTCAGGCATCGCTATTTGTAAAGACAAAGCTGCTAAGTAACAAAGCGATAATGCATTAAAATAATTAATAGTACATCTATATTCTATACATATAAATAAAATTGGAGTGCCTGTTTATACTATTGAAATAACCGTTTTTTACTATTATTTAGTATTTTTACAGATTAGGAACGATTTTGACGGTTTTTTTTGCAAGTAGCTGGTGTATTACACCAGCTACTTGCAGGATCTAAAATATAAGTAGCCTAAGTTACTACTTGCAGGAGTAACTTAGGCTACTTATATTTTAGAAAATAAAGTGACCGTTTTTTATGATTTGATTTGAATATAAATACTGTACATACATCAAAATATTTTTTTTACAAGTTTTGACTCTGTCTATCTGGTTGTTCCGACTAATCCTGAAATGGCTGGACCTATTTTGACGGGACTTTTTTTGCAGGTAGCTGATGTAATAACTACTACTTTTATTTTACAAAATAAATTCGAAATCGCGGGTACAGCTAGTATATAATAAATTTCTTTAATACTGCCATACAATTACTACAAATATTCGCTCTCGATTGTCCCCTCGTGAACGTTTTACGACGTAAGAAATATTAATAGGTGAACCATAAAATTAAGAGAATCTTTAACGAATGTCGGCGTCCCACTCGAGCTGGGAATTGGAACAATTTTATTCAGTTCAACAGCGACTATAATCTCTCTTAGGAACAATAAAATATTCAAATGCTGTTGTTATTGTTGAAAGTGTATAAGTCGAGTATTTGAGTATGAATAATCACATTCATCTTATTGATTTAGCTGTTTATAGAGATGACTGAGTGGGCTGTCTCTTGCTTTGGTTCAATTTCTTTTTGTATATTTTTAACTAGCTGTACCCGCGTCTACGTCTGCGTGGAATTAAACTTTATTTTTCTAAAATAAAAGTAGCCTATATTACTCCTTAGTTCAGCTACCTGCCAATAAAACCCCGTCAAAATCAGTCCAGCCATTTCAAAGATTAGCCAGAACAAACATACTGACAGATAGACAGACAAAAATTGTAAAAAATGTTATTTAGTGTATGTACCGTATTGATATTCATATGTATGTAGTAAAAACGTTTATTTCAATGTTACAAACATTCACTACAATTTTATTTATATGTGTAAATATAGATGAATTATGGACAGAATAGTATTGTTAGGTACAAATTAATACGGCGGTAGTTCGGATGTCGGATAGTTGAATACTTTGTTCCATTTGAACTACTGGAACTGTAAAGTTTCTGAAGCCGATGAGCCGTAGTAAGAACCGAACTATTCTTAGTTCACAAATGTTTTCGCTAATTGAGCTCTTACAATTTTACGTAGAATTCTACTGCTAAATTCAAATTTATTATTAACTCCCGGATTATTCAATGGAAGCACCTCTTCACAAACAATTCTCGGTACCAATATTTCAAGATCGTTGTTTCTGAAAAACACAAGAAAGAAGTTAGATATGTAGAAATAATATCGGTGATAAATAAATACCTACGAATTTTCGAAAACTAATGCAGATATTTTTACAGTCTATTATTACATAGTATAAAACAAAGTCGCTGTCGCCCATCCATATGTATGCTTAAATCTTTAAAAGTACACGGCGGATTTTGAAGCAGTTTTTTTAATGGATAGAGTGATTCAAGAGCAAGGTTTATATATATAATGTATGAAGTTGGGGAGAGTAGCTAGTACAAATTAAATTGAGAAGAATTGACAAGAAACATAAATGAATTTTTTAACCACAGCACGGCCACGATGCTCTCAGTTACAGAGATATATGTATTGAAAGAGTCATCTGTGGTCAAATTAAAATAAGATAATCAACATAAGAAAGATATTTTCAATGACGGCCTCGATGGTCTAGCGATTTAGCATGCCGCCTTACTTCCGACGGTCGCGGGTTCGATTCCTCGCACGGCACAAACATTTGTATTCTTGATTATGACTGTTCGTATCGGTCAAGATGTTTTCTATGTATGTATTTACGAAAAACAATACATCTATGTATTCGTATTATTTATCTAGTACCTATAAGACCAATTTTAGCTAGCATAACTTGGAACTAGATGGCGCTGTGTGAATTCACCAGCGATTATTATTATTATCAATACAAAATGACAAGGCAAAATCGATTTAATTATTTTCTCAAGAACATTTATAAATTTGAAATATAATTCATTAGCCAGGTACTCTCAGCAAGTTCCCTTGAGAGGTGAACCTGCAGGTGATTGAAACAAAACCAATAATCAAGCAAGATTGCTTTCTACCAACTTTGTGTAAATATTTTCCCTATAGCAAAAAATAAAAAAGATATTCTACTAATAAGAATAAGTTATTATGTTTTTATTGTTGATCGAAAATAAGTAATATAACGAGACTAAATTTTTAATTAGTACCTACTGTTTTAACTTTTTATTGCTGTCCTCTAATGAGGACAGCAATGCAGATAATTATGTAAAACTAACTGAAATAAATGAGAGAAAAATATTTAAGTATATAACAAGTAACTAAGATGCATAATATTTTAATATTATAATTAATTACTACAAAAATACAGCTGCAACCACATTGGTTACCACTCAGTTGTGTCTGGTCCGTAATTAATGACCAAGCGCTGATTTTCATTGTAAACATTGGGAGTAGTGGATGACTTTTATTAATTAATTTAAAATGTATAAATTGCGTGAACGGGCGCTGTCGATAGTACTTGAAAATTCTTTGATCACTTGTGTGCTGCGTTGCATTAATATATATACATATATGTAAATATGTGTATGTTCTAATAAATGATGGATTGAACACATACGTAAAACAATGCAATACGGACAGTTACATACACAGTGGAAATTTTTATTTTCTAACTGAAATTTCTGATGTTTTTGTTTAAATGCAACTACAGATTTTGAGTTTTTAATTGGAGGCGAGATTGTGCCAACATTATTGATGTCTGACAAACCGATAGTAAATAATACGAGTATGAAGGTGTGAAAGTAGGAGCATATATGAAGTGAAGGTATTGGATGCACCTGATGAACGACAGGTAGGTATTGAGGTTTATGTGAGGAGATAATTGAAATGGAACTAGTATGACAACAATATATCTTTATAAAATGAATATGTCAAGATTATGATTACACAATTTAGTAAGTAAATAAAAATCAAAAGAGTTCGTTACATATAATTTAGATTTCAAGAATGACAAGGCTATTAGAACAGAGTCTACCCTTTCACGTCGTAACTTTTACCATGTAATATTAAAATAATGAAGAAAAGAATGAAAGGGAGTGTTTTAATTAGTAATTAACTAATTATTATTCTAAAAAGCATATTATATTATCCTGATATAATATATTAATAGTTCTAAAAGTGGTACTTCAATTTTACGATCCTTTGATCATGTTTGGATAAAATTAGTTAAAGAAGTTTAAATACATATGAAACCAAACAAAGAGATACAGTGTAAGTTCCATTCTTGTAGCTACGAGGCGTACTTCCAACTGAATAGGCACTTAAATAAATAAAACTATAGCTACTGGGCGCGACTGAAACACCAACGACCTCTACATTGTCCAAAAGCACTCTTTAGCGCGTTTTATGAACGAAATGAAAACATCTGACCCGGATCGTATTCTATTTAATTCACAGAACAAGCATTCCAAATGATATATTTACCCATGTTTAAGTTTCGTAAAAGAAATTCTTAATTGTTATACATTTTTAAAGACGAACAACTATACATACTGTTAATAACAATGTATATGAAATGAATTATGGCTGCTTTATGGCCGCAAGAATCGAAAGTAAGTACACATACTTGAGGTACATGGCCGGTAGAACGATAAAAATGTTAAATAAGTATGAAAATTTATTGTAATTTATATTGTCATTAGACATTAAAATGACTTTTACTCTTTTATTTTTCCGCAGACAGTGGTCCATGTCCCTTATTAATTTCATTTATTCATATTAATTCAATAAAAATTTTATACTGTATGTATTCTGCGCTGTATATTATAAATTACAATTAAAATAAAACTTAAAACAACAAATTCAAATTAAATGAAAATCATAAATAAAATATATATAATACACAGTTAAACAAAATTAAAATAACGTTGGAATTCATTCATATTTAAACTAATCATATCTGTTTCATACTGCATACCTCCGACAAGATGTTGACCAATTTTAATGTTCACATTACACTTATCACATTATACAATTAGATCATCATACTAAAATTCATCGGGAGTTTTCTACGATGGTTTCTAGGGAGAACCTCTTGAACGTTAACATAACGTACATTGCTAGCAATAGAATCATTAATATACATAACAAACAATCTTCTTTCCAGCCATCCACCTCACCATTTCCCTCCAGTAAGCATACATTAGATAAACACATTTTTGTAACACAACTTTCTTTTTTCAGAGTTACCACCGAATGAAGAATCTCGTCAGGCAGTTATACGAGAACTGATACTCACGGAAACCGACTACTTAAGACACCTAATAGCAATTGTAGAGGTATGTAAACCACAATTTGTCATAATTCTGATTCCGTTATAATTTGTATTTGTATTATATTTTTGGTGTATTTATATACAATAAAACTAAACGTCTTCTATCATACTCCGTTATCGAGTTAATTCCATTTCGTATAAATATTAACTAAGTAAATATACCACCTGTCGAAATACAGTCTTCTAAAAATACATTAGTATATTCTTTTTTAGTAGTAGGTTCGTAACTCGAAGATACCGGTCTCACAAGCAAATAACTGATCTCTTACTTTTCCGCCTATAAAATATAAAAGCTAACATTTGTAAATCTACCTTAAAAATAAACCAACTCGTAAACATATAAATATATAAACAAGTAACTAGCATTATATATCCATCATGTAACAAAGTAATATTACGCGTATCTGTAGTAGATTCTTTTTTAGTAGTAGTTTTGTAGTAGTAGGTTCGTAATTCGAACAGACCGGTCTTACAAGCAAATAACTGATCTCTTACTTTTCCGCCTATAAAATATAAAAGCTAACATTTGTATATCTACCTTACAAATAAACCAACTCGTAAGCATATAAATATACAAACAAGTAACTAGCATTATATATCCATCATGTAACAAAGTAATATTACGCGTATCTGTAGTAGATTCTTTTTTAGTAGTAGTTTTGTAGTAGTAGGTTCGTAACTCGAACAGACCGGTCTTACAAGCAAATAACTGATCTCTTACTTTTCCGCCTATAAAATATAAAAGCTAACATTTGTAAATCTACCTTAAAAATAAACCAACTCGTAAGCATATACATATACAAACAAGTAACTAGCATTATATATCCATCATGTAACAAAGTAATATTACGCGTATCTGTAGTAGATTCTTTTTTAGTAGTAGTTTTGTAGTAGTAGGTTCGTAACTCGAACAGACCGGTCTTACAAGCAAATAATTGATCTCTTACTTTTCCGCCTATAAAATATAAAAGCTAACATTTGTAAATCTACCTTAAAAATAAACCAACTCGTAAGCATATAAATATACAAACAAGTAACTAGCATTATATATCCATCATGTAACAAAGTAATATTACGCGTATCTGTAGTAGATTCTTTTTTAGTAGTAGTTTTGTAGTAGTAGGTTCGTAACTCGAACAGACCGGTCTTACAAGCAAATAACTGATCTCTTACTTTTCCGCCTATAAAATATAAAAGCTAACATTTGTAAATCTACCTTAAAAATAAACCAACTCGTAAGCATATAAATATACAAACAAGTAACTAGCATTATATATCCATCATGTAACAAAGTAATATTACGCGTATCTGTAGTAGATTCTTTTTTAGTAGTAGTTTTGTAGTAGTAGGTTCGTAACTCGAACAGACCGGTCTTACAAGCAAATAACTGATCTCTTACTTTTCCGCCTATAAAATATAAAAGCTAACATTTGTAAATCTACCTTAAAAATAAACCAACTCGTAAACATATAAATATATAAACAAGTAACCTGCATTATATATCCGTCATGTAACGAAGTAATATTACGCGTATCTGTAGTAGATTCTTTTTTAGTAGTAGTTTTGTAGTAGTAGGTTCGTAACTCGAACAGACCGGTCTTACAAGCAAATAACTGATCTCTTACTTTTCCGCCTATAAAATATAAAAGCTAACATTTGTATATCTACCTTAAAAATAAACCAACTCGTAAGCATATAAATATACAAACAAGTAACTAGCATTATATATCCATCATGTAACAAAGTAATATGACGCGTAAAGTTAAAATGATATTCATACAAGAGGAAAACCCTGTAACAAATACTTACAATATTGATATCCCAGTAGGTGGCATATAAACGGAAAAACACGGGCAATAAAATTTGAAACCCGTGATACGGAAATAATAATGTTACATTCGCGATTTTATATCCGATAATAATAATATTCATGGTCTCTTGAGGTAGTCAGAGGTAGTACTATACCTACTACACTGTTGCTAAATAAGAGTATTATGTATATCGATATTCGTCCGTCCATCACGACCTCTCTACACCTCAAATAAATTTGTAAATCAGAAACGCAAATTCACACAAATTTGTATGAAATTTGTACACTTTTAGAAAATGTTTTTTTCGGACTACTCTAATGCTGTTGACCGCAGTATGGCCTTTACAAATTCACCGGACGATAGGAGAGTGCAGATGGAACTCCAAACCCACGATAGGACTTATGTTACTGCTTAAGGTGCTGGAGGTCATTCCTGCCTAACTGATACGACATTAATCTGACGGCACTGTTAGGGGTTCGAATCTCGGCTAAGGACGTCGTAATTTCGATCCCCATCTGAATTGGACGCGGGATCGATTGGAGAGCCTAGAAAATGTAACGAACTACTTTATATTTATACTTATATATATATCATAACAATTTTTTTACGACAGATAATCCGCCAAATAATTCTAATATAGGTACTACTTATAGTATATATTTCGAAATAAAAAAATGTTTAATATCAAATATGTTAGTATGTAATTTTTTACAACTTACCTGATTTCATCGATTGCTCTCGTAATTATTATAGTGCTCTAATAAAGACCGGGCAACTCATTTCAAAACGTCATTATTTATTTAACAAGGGAGTCAGTAGGCGGTGGGATTACCGGCTACGCTTGATACGACGTCCGAATTTTAATAATGTTAAATAGTAAAATTACACCTACAAGTTGACTACCTACTCACAGTACTGTTCAAGCCACGTAACGAACATTAAATTGTGAAGCTACCAGATCATCGGTCATAGAGAGATCATGTTGTAGAAATATGTAGTAAAACTATTTGTGACTGGAAAAATGTATTTAATGGTAAGATGGTAGAGAATGAAGTGACAATTATATAACTTTGTTTTTATAATTTTGATTAAAGAATACAAGAAAACTTTAAATATATTGATATCAAAAGAGTTTCTCAACAGATCAAGCTCAGGTTTATATAGATTGATTGGTGCATTCAATCAGATATCAGACATATGAAGCATGATATAATATTATGCAGGACGACGTTCATAGGCAACGGTTGCCTAGTCATAACAACAGTCTGGTCGTAAAATATTAAATTAATTAATAGTGTTTAAGTCGTAAAATAAACGTGGTTTACCACTTTGTATTAGGTGGTCGCCTAATTGTTTTGCATTTCGTTGTTGGCCCATAAAATATTTCTACAAAGCAACACTTGAGTCTAATATATAGAAAATTGCCCGAGTATAAAGACCTGCTTACTAATCGTCGATGCAGTAAATTTTATATTTAATGATTTAGGCGAAATATATCTGTATCTTTATAATCACTACATAGTATAAAACAAGTCGCTGTCGCTGTCTGTCCGTCCCTATATATGCTTAAATCTTTAAAACTACACAACGGATTTAGAAGCGGTCTTTTTTTTTAATAGATAGGCTGATTCTATAGGAAGGTTTATATATATAATACATGTACACCCGGGCGAAGCCGGGGCAAGAGCTAGTTAGTTTATAAAATATCGGTGAAATTGAATTCATATATAGATAAAGTAATTTTTTATTTTCATAATATATTATTTGTAAAATAAAAGACCAAATATGTACTTAGTTACGTCATTCACCTTGTAGGTATTTGAATTTTCCGGCTCTAAATGAGGAATGAGTAGGGGCCCTCAACTGGACTGTATATTTAATGTAAACGTTACATCACATGTACTTTACCTTAGAGATATCTTACTTCAGTTTTGTACCGTTTGCTCCCACATTTATTGTTTCAATGATAATATTTTTTTTTTTGTAAAAGTATCCTTACATCTTAATTATATTATAAACGCGAAAGTTTGTGAGTATGTTACTCTGATACTCTTTCACGCAAAAACTACTGAACGAATTTTGATTAAACTTTACAGTAATATAGCGTCTGCATTAGAATAACACATAGCATATATTTTATAGTGACATTTAATGCGGATCCAACCGCGGGCACAGTTATTTAATAATAAATACCTTTAGAAGTAATTACATATAGCCTTTTCGTTATCGTTGATATTTCTTTAAATATTACAGAATATTTCTTCGAGTATAATTATTTGTAACTAACCTATTTTCTGTTTTCGTTTGTTATCAAGGAAACTAAAAAAAGATTTTTAAATACACTTTGCGGTCAATTAAACTAAAATTATTTACTTTGTATGCGTATAGTTATAATAATATTACCTAATATACCTATATGTGTATATTAAAATAATATTTTTACTACTTCACATATTGTTGTGCCCGGTAAATAAACGGATTCACTCTTTTGGTGTGCCAACCAATTTAAGGATTACCGAAAGGCACAAAACGTGGATTAGCGCTAAGCTTTTATGGAAAACCAACAATTTGGCGTTTCGTAAACGACTTCGATAAAATAACTCATTACCTAAATAAACACAATACAGTCACGTGCAGGTTACCAAATTCTTATGATAATGATTTATATTTTTAACTGCGCATTATAAACCAACCACTCGTCAATTTCAAAATCAAATAACGACTACCCCCTTAATTAACGACATAGTCCCTTAATTAACGACATAGTCCCTTAATTAACGACATACCCCCTTATTTAACGACATAGTCCCTTAATTAACGACTTACCCCCTTAATTAATGACATAGTCCCTTAAATTGACATTATTTTTAACTTTATTTATATTATTATTAGTTACGACGATTTATATACATAATGTGTATAACTCGATAGATATAGATTATATATATGACGGCCACAGTGGTCTAGCGGTTTCTGTTAGCACACCGCCTTACTTCCGATACTCGCGGGTTCGATTCCTCGCCTGGCACAAACATACGTATTCATTAGTATAATTGTTTGTATCGGTCTAAGTGTTTTCTATGTATAATATAATTTCTATGTATAGTATATAATATAATATGTATTTATGATAAAAAAATCTGTTCTAGTACCCATAACACAAGACTTAACTAGCTTAACTTGGGACTAAATG